GGCGTCTTCCGCGTGACTCAGGACCTTGGTAGGGCGTGCACAGACCTGCCTGTCTGCAGTGGGCTCACATCTTGATTTTTTTACATCCCTTTCCCCTCCCTCTTACCCCGCCCTCCACCTCTTGGTCTCCTTCCCATTTGCAAAAGATCTATCTCCTTGTTTCCATTGTCTTTTATTTTACTCTTTAAATTTGATACAATTTTTTTTTTTTTGTACCTGGGATTGAACTGGGGACCTTGCACTTGCTAGGCAGGCACGGGAACCACTGAGCTAAATCCCCGGCCCCAAATTTGATACATTTTTAAAAGTCAGAAGCTCATGAGGAAGATTGCTGCAAGTCGAAGGCCAACTTGAACTTCATAGGGAGACCCTGTCTCAAAAGATGAAAGGCAGAAGCCCTAAGAAATATGGGACATATTGGTAACTGCAACCCTCACAGTGCTTTATAATATACTGGACAGTAGGTATCTACTTTTTCCCTTACTTTTCCTGTTCCTGAAAATATGTCGATTCCTTCTGTTTTAGAGAGGAGGCCAAGGCACCAATTACTATGTGGATTTCTCTGTGAGGAACTGCTCTGCCTACCATTTCCCTAGAGACCCTAATGTGAGTATAATAAATGCCTGCGAAATACTGAGCATCATCTAACAAGCACTTCCTACCAGCCAGGTGCTCTACTGAGTGCTTTACACATATGTTCACTTATTAACACTCCCACCACCAAACAATACTCTTTTTAATTCCTGATTTTCAGGTAAGGAAACTGAGGCATAGAAACGTTGAACAAATTGTGAGACTATGATTTTAGGATATATGCTTAAATTTAAAACTGAGGTTTTTAATCCATGAGGATAAAAGGTTTAGTCAAAACTAATAGCAGCTTTTATTAAGACCCTATATATACTAGGTACTCTCATGCATTCCGTCCTATAGACACCCACATGGATCCCATTTAACAGGGAGGAAGTAACAAAGGTTCACCAAGGGAAGGTCTTACAGATGTTCACAATGGAGCTAAGATTAAAATCATTCTTCTCATTCCCAGTCCATTGGGAGTTTTCTCCTAATCATTTACAAATAGACTCACAAACCTACTGAGGATCTTATTAGTATTACCTGACATTTGCATGCAGCCTTACAGCTTACAAAATGCCTCCACATATATTACTGACTGGGAGGAGCCTCCTGACAGCCCTGCCGAGAAGAAGTGTCTGCCTCCATTTCCCTGGAAAAAGGGGCCCTAGAATTTTAACCATGTACTTAGAAGCACTTAGCTAGAAAGTTTAGGGCACAGGATTTGAATTCTGATTTCAAGTTGGAATTTTTCTGAGGTTTAACAACATGTTCTGAAGTTTCTTCTTGGCCAAAAGAAAGGAAGCACTCAATATTTCCTTTTCTGACTGTTCACATCTTTAACCTGAACCAGTTCTAGATTCCTATTTAGTGGCCACCCCAAAAGACACCTCCCTCCCCTACCCCCGTTCCCATCCCCAGCGAAGTCTTAGACACCCTTGTGTGGGTAGCACAAATCCAATGAGGAACCGTGTGGGCTGGAGAGAAGGCAGCTCAGTCCTGGGTGCTTTACTTTTATCTCACTTAACTAAGCCCTCTCACACTCTGTAAGGAGAAGGTTTTATACTCATTTTACAAAGACCAAGTTTTGGAAATTTTGTATAATTCATCTAAACTCACAAAACTAGAAAATGGCAATGTTAGTATTAACATAGATCTGTGTGATTCCAGAATTGTATCGAGAGCCTCAAAGTTTAACAGTCTTTTCTGGCCAGTTAAAGTTATACAAATCCATGTTCTACACCATTTCTCACTCTCTCTAGGAACAGGCAATCAGATCTTCAGGGCAGAAGTGTTGGCCTAAAGGCAAAGCAGGAGTGACATGTGTTCCTCCCCACCACACACGAGGAAGCCCAGTGTTGGTGACCGCTCATGGATGGGAACCACAGAAACTTGTAAAGAAGCCTTTGGAACCTGTACTTAACCAAGTGTTGCCTAGTAAAGATTGATACATACTTGGGGGGGATATCTGATAATACTAACTTGATTTTTCCAAAGCTCTCCTTCCTTTCCTGAAGGCCTAGAAGTTTACAACTCTGGCTGAGAACCTTTACTTTCTGCATGTATGCATGCACACATACACACGTATGCACGTACTCACTAAAGTGCTTCTTTCTCCTTTGTAGGTCTTTGGATTCTGCAGAGCAGATTTGTACTATGATATAGAACCTTCTGACTTGGAAATCCCAAAAGACATTGTTGTAAACTGTGAGGTCTTTAACCTTGAGGTGAGTTCCTGAGTATGTTTTGTCTTAAACAGTGGCAGAGTAAGGGATATTTTCACACACATAGTGTATTTCTACAGCTGTGTGTGTGTGTGTGTGTGTGTGTGTGTGTGTGTAAGGAGTGGAGAAAATACAGACAGAACAGGCCTCTGGCAAAAGGAGTGAAATTGCTGGTATGATGTAAAAACTATGAAGAATTGGGGTGAGGAAATATTTAGAAGAAACATAAAATCATGAACAATTCAATAAACCTTGAATGAATTTGGGAATGGTCATTATAGTGAGGACTCCAATGCTGACACTCAGTAATTCTTAACTCTTATTGTTAGACATAGAGCCTAAGGGGAATAAATGAGTCTTAAATTTATCATGTAAAAGTATATAAAATAAGATGCAAAATAATATTTTATATCTGACCCCAGGAACCTTTATGTTATTTTATGAGTATGCACAAAAATATTCTCCATAGTAATTTTTATATCCGACAAAAAAGAAGACAGAAAGAAAAAGAAAAAGGGTAGGTTCATCACCACGAATATATCTCCACAGATCTTTTTAAATAGTTAAAGCCTGGACAAGGAGAAGAGTAAAGAGGCTAAGTGTTCTTCCTCTAGGAGTAAAGGATGTTTTATCACCAAACCTCAGAACTCTGTTGGAAATATCAGTTATGGCATTAGTTGTTCACATATTGGTCTATGAATGGGTGCCATTCCTTAATATTATCTTACCACATTGTGCTGAAATAGGAAAAATAAAGAAAAATTTTCATAATACAACATGTATTCATCTAAAGGTCCATCCTTTGCTCCGAGGTTATCTTTCTCTTTTGTCAAAATATTATCCCTTTTTTTGAAATAGAGATGGTATTAAATGATAGTTTTTGTTTGTTTTTTAAATGTCAACTTGGCCAGATAAAAGTCTGAGACAATTTTATTGCATCCTACTTTAAAAAGTAGAATAATTGATGTGTGAAATCTGAGAGCCATTTTCTTAAATCAAGCTAAATATCTAATTGCTCCTTTTGTGTTGTGTGATGACTTTTCACTTTTCTGTGTCTTCTACCAGGAGTATAGAAACATCAGTGGTATGCCACCCCATCGGGGCCATCCTCACCACTTTGGTGGGCGGGAGCATGCTCTACCCAGCAAGCATCCATTTAACTCAAATGGATCCAGAGATCATCATCATTCCCACAAGTCACACAAAGTTGCATGCCCCTCTGCCCTGGGAGAAAAAAATTATTCAGACAGACCACCACTGCCCCCACCAGGGCCAAGATGTCATTACCCTCCTTCTGGCACCAATCGGAGTGGACCTCCTCATAGTTTCAGTAAGCATGATCCCCATGGACATCCTCCACCTGGACATGGTCCTCATGGACACTGTCCCCCTGGACACCGTCCCCATGGACACCATCCCCATGGACACCCTCCCGGTGGTCACCCTCCCCATGGACACCCTCCCCATGGACACCCTCCCCATGGACACCCTCCCCATGGCCATGATTTTCATGACTATGGACCCTGTGATCCACCACATGATCAAGGTCCCAAACATCACCATCATGATCATGGTTCATCACATAGGCACCCAGGACAAAGAGGTCCAGGTAAAAGACACTTCCCTTTCCATCGAAGACAAATTGGATATGTTTACCGACTCCCTCCACTAAATGTAGGGGAAGTTCTTCCTCTGCCTGAAGCCAATTTCCCCAGTGTCTCATTACCAAGCTGCAACAATTCCCAACAGCCAGAGATTCAGCCCTTCCCTCAATCAACCCCTCCCTCTGAATCGTGTCCAGGGAAGTTCAAGAGTGAATTCCCACAACTTTTCAAGTTTTTTGCATACAAGTCTCCAAAATAAAACCTGATTCCTTAAAAGAGAAAAATAAATAATGTTCTGAATTAGAACCATGAATAAAATGTGACCAATGATGAATGAAAATTGTAGTCATATTAACCTTATTTTCATACTCAGGAGAAAGCAAAATATGGGTAGGGAAGGAGATGGTACAGGAAGAGACAGACAAATGCAAAGGAAAGGAAAGACCTCACTTCTACAAATCCAAAGTTAGTTCTGTCACTGGTCATTGCATTATTTTAGCTAAATATCTGATCCTTGGAATTTCCTGCTTTCTTAGACTTTCTTCCTCTAATTATAGTACCTGACTGTTCATGCTCCAGCTAGACCCCTAACGTGGTAGGTATTATTATTACTTAAGAGATCATTATAAATTTGACCCAAATTGTTGCCTAGTGGTTATTTTTACGCATCTACACTTCCTTTTGGAAAAATAATTTCTAAACTCAATTATCAAGACAATAAAGATCTGGCTATCATTTACAAAGAAAGTTGCAGATATGAATCATGACCATAAATTCAAGTGCACAAGAAAAATCCCTTTATTTTCTGGCCAAATTGACTTCTATTTCAGGTTGTCAACCTACTGGGCTAATGAGAATCTTAATCCCAGTCCTTCCTGAAGCTTCTCTGCCCTGCTACTTCCCTCACAAACTTGTGCTATGGTTCCAGAATTGCAGATAGTGTCAAGGTACTTGGGTGGGCACAGGTAGGAGATCTGATTCTTTTATTTAGTAAGTTATTTCTGTGAGACAGTGTCTCACTATACAGTTCAGGATGGCCTTGAACTTTCAGCAATCCTCCTGCCTCAGCCTCCTGACTGCTGAGATTACAAGCATGCCCCACTATGCCTGACATGATTCTTGATCATTGGCTGGTCAGGTGCCCCCGTTGAGAGATATTTACTACCATCTTCTCATCACTCTGAGGCTGGTTTATCTGCTACTCCTGTATCAAACTAGGGATAATGCAGGCATCTCTGTAAGACCACAGTGGTTACACACCATGGTTATTTTCTGCTCAGGATCTTGCTGCCTTCCAGGCTGCATGTGCAGAAAGCAGGGAAGAGTTCTCCTCTGTCTCAGGGCCCCAGACCCTACTGTCTTCTTCCCAGGCTAGGGCATCTCTTTCTAGTTTCACATAAATTCACTTCATTCATTTTCTTGGTGCCTCTTTCTTTTCCCTTTTTCCCAAATCATAGTTCATGCATTAAAAACAGGTTAATAAGATTTCAGATTCTTTCCACCTTCCAGCCACAATGGTGATGAAAACTCTAAATATTCAATGATCAATGGTGTAACCACTGCCCAGTCAGACCAGATACAACAGTCAATCAGAACAGCTGCCATGCATGAACAATATCTGTGTCCATACTGGTGGGCACCAGCTGAACACTGCCTGGCAGAATGACGATCTTCCATGGATCCATGCCATGGGTCAGCTGTCTGATGAGGATTTGAGAAAGGTGAAATCCAGGAAGACCAAAAAACAAATCAAAACAAAACAAATCCACCAGAGATCAATAACTCAAAGTATTATTCTCCTAGAAGCATTTGTTTTATGGTTTATAAAGTACTTTAATATTGCTGGAGTTCATGAAAATATTACCTGGAAAAAATAAACATAAGAATTGACCAAAAGATGGAAGGAGGTGGGAGGGTGAGAAAAGAAAGGAAAAGTAAAAAGAATTAAAATGTGTTATGTGAATGCACCAACTCCCCGCCATGAACGTAATCATTATGTACCGAAAACATGAGCTAATCAAAATTTTTTAAAATTAAAAAAGAATCCAATTCAAGAAAGTGTAAGAATTGAAAGTAATTCAATTTACTTAAATGCATTCATCTTATGGAAATACAGTTGCTGCAGTAAATAAATTAGTAAAAAAAAAAAGCATTCCTACCCTAGGGAGCTTTCAATCTACTAGACATTTTACACAACATGCCACTGATGTTATTTTTCTAGGATTTTTACATTTTGATGGCTAACAAGTATATGAATGGTTATTTTCAAGTATTTTATCAACTTTCAAAAGTGATGTTAATATTTAGTCAAATGCCTAAGTTCCAAAATCCTTACTCTTCCCCTGAAAAGTTCTTCGCCTTCCTAGCATAACCTTTTCTCTCAGTGGCACTACCATTCTTCAAGACTAAAAGACCAGAAAAATTTATTATTTACATTTCTTTATCCCCTGTAAACCTATGTCAGCACAGATTTTGACTGTTTTGTACATTAAAATGCTTACCACACGGTAAGTGTTCAAGAATGTTCAATTAATGAATTGACACAGTAAACACTTACAGATTTTCGTGTTTCATAATTTAATTTTTACCAACATCTCCCTTGTACAAGTAATATCATTGTAGTAAGGTGGGCCAGCTGCCATAACAAACAAGCTCAGCATTTTAATGGTACAGAATTTGATAATCTTTCATGTAATAAATAGTTCAATGTGAGTAGCCAAAAGGTGACCATCCCCAGGGTGAGTCAGGGTCGTAGGTTCCTTTTATCTTGTTGTTCTTCCCAGCTATTAGACTTCAGGATTTTCTCCTGGATCCTCTCCAATTAGCCTCCATGGGCAAGAAGTCTAGAACCATCAAAGTGGTTTCTCAGGGCCAGGCTTGGAAGTGGCAGGCATCCTTTGTGTTCATGTCCCGTTGGCCAGCATGCTGTCATAGGGCCACACCTAGTGCAAGGAAGACTGGGCATAAAGTCTACTCATACTCCAAGGAGGAAAGGGAGATGGGCTCCCATGACAACCATATTTTAAAGAAGAAAGATGAGACTGGAAGACGTTTAATTATTTGCCTAGGTCCTACAGTCAATAAATTGTAGGACTGGGATTAGAACCCTGATGGGGCTCCTCTCCTTCAAGGCCACTTTATTCCCTCTTTACTACACTGTCTGAATACATAGCCAAGTCATCTCTGAATTTTCACTGAAATCTCTGTGATGATTAGCCTGGACTTTTCCTATGCAGCTGTTACTGAACAGGGATCCCAGGGGCTTCTTTCCAGGACCCTGGTGTCCTGAACACAGAATTGGTCAAGACACACAGAAAATGACAGCAAAGGTATAGATTTACTGAAAGCAAAAGAAAATACATTCCTATAGGACAGGAGCCAGCTGGTGATTACAACTCCAGGTAGTCGCAAGGTTAAAGGGAAAGGAGCCTTTAGTACCCAAAATATACCTGGGCTGGCCCCTCCTCATGTAACTATGTAGTGGGACAGCTGTCCTATCAAAAATCTATTTTTGGCCTAATGCCAGATGTAAATGAAGGATGAGGATGAAGAGGATGATCGCTTGTGCCCCTCTCTAGAAGAAGGATTAGGAAGAGTACCTTCTGATTGGTCCCATGAACAGCCCTGAATTCAAAGGAAGGACTAGGGATAGATTTTCCTGATTGGTTCATTGACAGTGCCCAAAAGCCTTAAGCCTGGGGTCGTTCGGGTCCTGTGTTCTGCATATACCCCACCTCCTTTCTAGCACATTCCTTCCAGTTTACCCCAGCCCTAAACTCCCCCTCACAGCTCCTTCTGGATGGAATACCACCATTCATTCCTCACCTCTCAGTTTCCCCAATTCTGCCTGCCTCTCAACCAGAATCTTACTCAAGTCTCTGCTACGCTTAATTTCCCTCCTCTGTCCAACCGTTAGAATCTGCCTTCTACCATTACCATGCACCTGAAACTGCTCCATTAAGTCAGAGATTCTTAACCATTCCCTTCTAATATTAGCTGTCACTTATAAGAACTAGTTAGCAGGCCCTGAATGTATATGTAGTATGTCACTCTGTCACTCCCCAGAATAACCTCATGAAGGTATTATGCTTTTCCACATTTTACAAGTGAGGAAACTGGGGGTGGGGGTCAGGCGTGAGCCTGGCTTGCTTGGGGCCACACAGCAGTTAAGCAGCAGAGTCAGACTGGAATCTAGGCTGGACTCACTGCTAAACATGTGTTCCTGCCACACAACTACCAGGCCACCATTTAGCCAACAGTGAGCCTGTTTCCCAGGGCCTCTCAGGTGGTCTAGAGATCCTATCAACAGTAACCTATTTTTACCCCCTCTCCCCTGTTCTTCCTGTTCTTCTCTAAGACTTGAAGGCACGCATTTACTGATAATTTTAACTACCTTTAGGCCTGTCTCCCCAAATAGTCTAACTTTATCAGAAAGTTGGTTTAGGCCAGTGGTGATGAACCTATGGCACGGTGTTACTTGTTTTTGTTTTAAGACAGAAGATGTTTTCTGGTTTTAGCTGTTCTTGTTGGCATTGAGTGGTATATAATTATGATTTAAAATTCCCTGGTTATTGACATTGCTCACCTTTGAGATGTTTATTAGTTATCTGCATCTCTGCTGTTGTAAAGAACCTGCTTATTCACTCATTGTATTTTCCTTATTGATTCAGGGGAATCTTTAAATATCCTGGTTATGAGTCCTTTATTGGCCATATGTACTGCAAATGTCTTTTCCCACTTGATGTTTGCAACTTCTCACTTAGTGTTAAGTCAATATTAAATCTAATTTTTAGGTAGTCAAAAAAAAAAGACAGAAGATGTTAGTGTGTGAGTTGTTTTTCCTAAACAAAAATCTCAGGATTCCAGTTTAATTGCAGTGTTAGCACTTTTCAATGAACGAGTGAGTTTTGGGTTGCAGTTTGGGCCCTCATCTCTAAAGGTTCACCATTACTGGTTTAGGCTACCTCCTCTTACGCATTCCCTCTGTCTCCTGCACACTGGGACATTTTCCTTTGTAGAACTACTACAACTGAGCAGAGAAAGGCTGGCTTGGCAGAGACCAGGTAGGATGCCCATAGTTTATTTTCAGCTGTGCCCATGTCGTGGGTGGAACTCCCAGAACTCACTTGGTGCTTGGACTTCCCAGGCATGCAATAGAATTAGTAGCAGCGGTTTCCATGCAGACAGTTGTCCTGCAAAGGAATTACGTGAGCTGTATCTACACACTGTACTCACTGTGGCATTGTTCACATAGGCAGTGACCTTCATTGATGGCTTTGGGAAAGTCACAAGGAAATAACACAGCTAGTTAGTGGTTTTTTCTCTTTCTTGATTATATGCTGTTCTAATTTGCTATACAAAGTTGTGCAACCCCTTGGAATGTGCTCTGTGCTCCCTGCTGCTTTCCAAAGGCAAAATATCAAGTCAACAATCCCAGTGTTGTAATGTTCCAGCCTGAAATTTACCTAGATAACGCAGCAATTATTTGCTCTTCTGTAAGAGGACAAATAATATCTGGCAGCAGGAATATAACCAGGGTCCTGAGTGTTGAAGCAGAGAAAGAAGATAAAGGAGATAAGAGGCTGGAGATTGTTAAAAGCAGCACCCAAGTTGGTGCCTCATTCCTAGCAAAACCATCCCTCAGAGTCTAGAGGGAGACGGTTAAATCATGAAACTAATTGCCATCCTTTTCCTCTGCTCCAGGCTGCTACCCAGCTTTACCCAGGAACCAGACTACCAGGAAATTGACTGCAATCACAAGGACGTATTCCAGGCTGTGGACGCCGCTCTGAAGAAGTTCAACAGTAATAACCAAAGTAGCAACCAGTTTGTATTGGTCCGCATCACTGAGGTCAACCAGACAGTAAGTGAGCTGTGTAGCCTTGAAAACACCTAGGATTTCTGCTAGCTCAGAGCCCAGTGCTTGTTCCCTCTCCTCTCTCTCTCTCTCTCTCTCTCTCTCTCTCTCTCCTCTCTCTCCAGTCCTCAGGCAACCAAGATTGGTTTCCGGGGGAGTCAGCAAAACAGTATCTTAGGATGAATTGAAACAGAAGTCAATGGACAAGTTTTCTGGGAGCTAAGCAGAGTGGGAGAATCCAGGAACTCAGTGTGAAGGAAAAGGATTCGCTGGGAGTCTGGCCCTAGACCAAAATATAAAAAGTTCCAAACTTTAAATGGGAGGAAGTTCTTTGCAAAGTAGGTCTAGAGGAGTCAGGAGTGAGATTAGCATGGTTTACTGCATTAGACAAAGTACTTACCATGAAATCTGAATTCATCAAAGTTAATAGCAAAGTTTTAGTTGGTTTTTAATATTGTTTCCCTTTCTGTCAGGATGCATGAATCAAAGAAATACAATTTTTTTAGAGTTTGTTTAAATAAATTTCACTATAAGAGACTATGTCTTTGGATTAGTAAGCAAATGGCAGGGGAAAAAAACCCAATCATGTGACATTTATGAAGATAAAGAAAAAAAAAAAACCCAGTGGACATGTTTGTTTGTTTTCCCCAGAAAGCAAAATTGAGCCACTTTGTTTCACAATTCAATGTGGCTGTGTAAGGAATCCTGCCTCCTGGTGCCTTCAAGCAGCTCTTTATTGGTGGTGCCTTCATTGGCTGACATCTATGGCAAAGTTGGTTCTCCTTTAAAATGTCCATGTGGTCCTCTTTTATGTTCATTTTTCCATATGGGTACAGGTGCTTGATAGGCCTAGGTTGGCAAAATGTGACCAAGCAGGTTCTGAGGGAGCACAGAGACGGAGGACATGGGGCTGGTCCTGCCTTCCTGAGAGGATAAGAAGGCACCTGAGCCAGGCCTCAGATTACTCAGGGACTGCTTGCCCTTAGCTACCAAGTGAGAGGCTGGACAACATCCCCTCCTGGGTCCCTTATTGCTCTAACATCCCAGAGTTCTGCCTCTGAAAGTTCAGCACCCTTAAGATTTATGCATGACATTTTAGAAAATCAAAAAAGGGAACGAAGTACCCATAAGTTCTACAACATCCTACCTCCTTCAAGGCTAAGCTTTGCAAACATAGAGTGAAAAGCGAGATACAAGGACCACATATGGTTCCATTGATGAGACTGTGGAGCAGGTGAACGAACACAGGGAGACAGAAAGCACATTGTTGGCTGCCAGGGGTTGAAGCAAGGCACAAGGGGAAGTAACTGCCAATAACAATAAACAGGTATAGGGATCCTGTGGGGAGATAAAACGGACTACCGGGAATTATGGTCATTGCTACAAATACTAAGAAACATGTAATTCTACAGTTTGAGTGGATGAATTGCATGGCATGTGAATTTCATCTCAATTGTTTTAAGAAAGAGGAAAAAGAAAACTTAGAAAATAGAGAAAATAAACTAGACCCACCCATAACTAATCCTACCACAGAGATAACTGGTGACATTTTTTAAAAAGAGACTTCTCTTTTATAATTGCAAAAGTAATATGTGTTCATTAGGGGCACTCTTTTTTTGTGTGGACTTTTTTTTTATATGTGTTCATTAGGAGGAAGAGTCAAACAATTTAGAAATGTTTATTTAAAGAAGAAAGTGAAAGATATTTGAAATCTCACCACTGAGAGATAAACATTTTAACAGATTGCTGTACATCTTTGAAGACTTTTTAAAGGCATATATGTGCATATAAATCAGTTTCTACAAGACATGGGCTAATACTTTGTAACCTTTAAAAAATACATATTTGTAACCGAGTAGGATGGTGCACACCTGTAATTCCAACTGCATGGGAGACAAACAGGAGGATTACAAGTTCAAGGCTATCTCGGTCAACTTAGAAAGACTGTCTCAAAATTAATAATAAACATAAACATTATTATGAATATTCTTCCAAGAAAATATTTATAAAAATGTAAATATTTATATTTTAATGAATATCTGGCTCTCATTGCATCCAATCTAATTAAGATCTATATTTATAACTATACCAGCATCCACTCAAATTATTTGCTGTTGGGTCAGCTGGATAAACTCTAAATATCTTTGATTGCTTTTTTCAGATTAATAGTGACGCCTTTTATTCTGTCAAGTATGAAGTCAAGGAGGGTGACTGCCCTGTTCAGAGTGACAAAACCTGGCAGGATTGTGACTACAAGGATGCTGAGGAAGCTGTAAGTGTGTCAGTGACTCTCAAGCCTCCAGATTTCTCCATCAAAAAACTGGGTTTATCTTTAAAAATTCATTAAATTAATTTTTAAAACGGATACATAAAAACCTAAGAATTGTGTATATCAGTGGGACACCATGTGATGCTTTGATATATGTGTACACAAACTGTGTACTGTTTTAAATCCGGTGAAACATCTTTTCAAACATTTATTCTTTGTTATGACAACATTCAAACTTTGTCCTTCTAGCTGTGTGGAAAATGCAGTTTGCAGTTGTTATCGATAGTCATCCTCCTATACAATAGCACACCAGAGCCTCTTAATCCTATCCATCTGTAACTCAATCCCCATTTATCAGTCTCCACACAATCCTCTCTTCCCCAGTCTCCCCAGCTTCTGACACACCATTTGTCCTTCAGCTTCTGAGATCAACCTTTTTAGTTTCTGCGTGTCAGTGAGATCCTACAGTGTTTATCTTTCTGTGCCTGGCTTATTTCACTAAACATGTTTTCGGGTTCCATCCTGTCTGCTGAAGTGACAAGATTTTATCCTTTTTATGGCTGAATAGTATTTCATTGGGTGTATCACATTTTCTTTATCCATTCAGCAGCTATGGATTTCTTTATACAAATGCAGGGATAATTACTATCGCTGAGCCTTTTTATTAAGGATGCACATAAACCTTGAAGTGTGGAGATAAGTCAGATGCTTGACATCTGTGTTCTTGTATAAACAGAAAAATCATAGCAAGGCTAACAGTTAAACGTTGTGAAAGCCCTTCCCTGAGAAGGGGCCCAACTGTCCAACCAGAACATGCAAGTCACACCCCAGAAAGACAACAGAACAAAATTTGGGCTAAGCTCAAGGTCTGACAAGGGGAGGATGTGGGTCCTCCAGCTACACAGGCCTGAGGACAGATCTTGCCTTTGGTTCTGGCTAGCCGAGAGGTGGCCAGCAATCTGCTTGACCTCTCTGAATGGATGGTCTCCCCCCAAACGGGAAGTTAGCACTGACCTTGTAGGTTGTTGGAGGATGAAATGAGATAAGTTACGCAAAGGGCTACCTTAGCCAAATGTCTGAAGTATGCCTGGCACAGCCTGAGAAGCAAGGCTCTTTTAGCTGTCTGTGGACTCCCCTCTTGTGCCGGAATACCAGCATCCTGTTTGGGTTTTGAAAAGACAGTCACTTGCAGTCATGACACAGCACTGGTCTTTGAGTCAGGAGAGCAGGTTATGGGGCTGCTTCTGCCCCTCAGTGATCTCACCTGGCAGGTGGGGATAATGAGCCACTGTGTCCCACACTGCCTGTATCTCAGGGCTGTGCCGGTGAGGAGAAGCTTGCTTTATCCCAATAAAATACTGTCACTTAGAAGTCCAATGGGGATGACAGAAGAATGTCAGAAAAAAGCAAAACCAAACCACCCTTCTGGTCAGGTATAGTGACACAGCTAATCAGGAGGCTGAGGAAGAATTGCAAGTTCAAGCCCAGCCTGGGGAACTTGGTGTGGTGGACTGGGGGTATGCTTCAGTGGTAGAGGGCTTGATTAGCATGCATGAGGCCCTGGCTTCGATTCCCAGTGCCCAGGATAAAAACCACTGAGCAACACTAACAAGGGGATGGGTGTGTCTATGCAGTGGTGGCCTCTGGTAGGTGGTTTATGGCTATTTGCACACTTGCTCTTCACAAAGACCCCATGAATTAGATGGGGTGTAGCTCCTACAAGATGCATAAACTGAGACTTTGAGAGGCAAAGGGGCTTGTCAGAAGGGGCGGCCAGCAAATGGCAGAGCTGGAGCTGGACAACACCATCAAATTGCTCTTTCTGATGGGTTAAACTTGAGCTACCCAAATAATATTCATCCACTGAAATTGAGAAGTAGACCAAGTGGAGAGTCTAGCAGGTGGGTTCCAAGGTACTGTGTACATCAGGATGCAAATAAATATTCCCAGAGCTCTAAACAAACACTAACGGTTAAAGCCTCACCATTTACACTGCTTCTCCTCTGCTGTCCCAAGAATATCAGTGGCCTGTAAAAAACAAAATCACTAGACTGCAAAAAATAGTCATTCTAAAACGTTTTTTAGAAAAAAATCACTTTTTCCTCTTGTTTTTAAAGAAAGTCATATTTAGTGGTGCTAGGTAGACTCCTCCATTGGAAAGGTGTAGCTGGACATTCTCTTTCTTTTCTTTTAGGCCACCGGAGAATGCACAGCAATTGTGGGGAAGAGAAGAAATGACAGATTCGCTGTGGCTGCCCAGACCTGCCACATTATTCCAGGTAACTAATGGGACTGGGGCCACTGCCCCGGGCAGGGGGAGGAATTAAGTACTTCTGTGTACCAAAACCAGCGTGCAGCAGGGTGTGCCTCCTGGCAGAGGGTACAGTGCTTGTTGGGGTGCATGCGTGGGTCTGTGGAAGCCTGAGGTAGGGCCAGGCATGTCCCAATCAACCCCTCAGAGCTCTCTATTCCTTGCTTGCCTCTCGGTATCAGGCCCTTCCAAAGTCCATAGGCCAGGGGTTCAGCTCTGGCCTAGAATCATTCAGAGGTCCTTTCACTTTCTTGAAGTTCCCTTCTTTATAGGGGACAGTACGCCCCGCTTCACAGAATGCTGTGAAACTGAAGAGATATTCACCTAAAGGCATAATGCCTGGCAATCATAATAATAGAGTAATGAAAACCTGCATTAACATAATAGTTAGCATTTATTAAGCACCTATGCACCAGCCATGGACCTATGCACTGCACAGGTGTTTATTTAATCCTTACAACAATGAGGTAGATATTAATATCCACCTCTCCTTTTTTTGTGGTACTAGGGATTGAACTCAGGACCTTCACACTGAGCTATATCTCCAGCCCCTTTTCAGTTTTTATTTGGAGAAGAGGTCTCCCTAAGTCACTAAGTTGCCCAGGCTGGGCCCAAACTTTTGATCCTCCGGCCTCAGCCCCCCAGAGTCTGGGGATCACAGATGTGTACCACCACACCCAGCTTTAATATCCCTATTTTTCTGATAAGGAAACCAACCCCCAGAGCAGTTACATAAGCTGCCCAACATCTCAAATAGTAGCAGATTTGGTAGAGTAGACCCTCAACAAATAAAATTCCTTAAAAATACAAATATGAAGCAACTTATGAAAAGATACAGCTATTATTAGCTCTACCAAGTACAGAGGAACAGGCAAATCAAGGTGCTGGCAGTCACAAAAGCTTCCCGGGCACGGGCCTGCTGCAAGCACAGTTTCAGTGTGTATGGGTTAATGCATCGATGTTGCTGCACATCTCCATGGGCTGGTGTCAGGTCTTGGCTTTGGTCTTCTGTGTGGAGGCCTCAGAGTTGTATCCCTAGAGCTCTGGATCTTACATGAGGCTGCATGAAAAGAAAAACAGTCTAAGGCAGAAAAGAGATCACATGTAATTAAAAATCTTTATTTTGATTTAAAGAAAAAAATCTCTGTAGAAGCCCAATGCAATGGCATAACCTTATAATTCCAACTCCTCAGGAGGCTCGAGGATGGCAACTGAGACTAGCTTGGGCAACTTAGCAAGAGCCCATCTCAAAATAAAATAAAAAGAATGTCCCCCAGGTAGGGTCAGGGTCAAACCCGAGCATACCCCCAGCCCTATCCCAGTGGACAGGGGAGGAGACACAAAAATGGCCGCAGGCTGGAGAAATCACTCTCCATCTTCTGAATCCAGCCGGCTTGAGATGAGGCAAACCCCAGGTGACCTTATTACCATCTCCCCTTCTGTTTTTCTGTAGTGTCCTCGGCCCTCCCCACCCCCCGGGGGTAATCACCAGGAATTCTCCCACCTCTCCCAGGGAATTCCTCTTTAGTTTTTTAACTTGGCCCATTACCCTGATTATGCATTATCTTCTTCAAGGAGAGGAGGAGAGAAAGCCATGCATATTGACCCAGTCAATATGTTTCTGACTCTAGATGGAGAGAAATCCAAGAAAGGGGGAGGGGGAGCTTGGTGCCCAGCAGCCAACCACCGAGGGGCAGTGTGGCCCCGAACTGCAGCCTTCCTATTGCCTTTTCATCTTTGTACCCACTCGCTGAGGAGGCCTCCCACCCTGAGGTGGCGCCCCTGGCCCAGGTGCACAGCTCACTGCGGCCACAGCCCCCTTTGGCTCCTGTTATCAGCATGACTTGATCATTTTTTAAACATATTTACATTAATTTTATTGGTACGTTTTAGGTATACAATATAATGACATTCATCATTGGAAATTTGCACCTTTACATAATCTCTCTTGGTTCTTATTTTTTCCCCATTCCCCTGGCTTCCCTTCAACCCCTCCATCCCTCCCTATCTACAAAGACTTTGCTTCCATTTTTTCATTTTCTCATGTTAATTCCATTCCTTTCTTTCTTTTCCCCCACCCCTACCACTTCCCCTTCCCCCTTGCCCCTTTGCTTCCTATTTCACATTATCTATTATACCTTTTAGTCCTTATTTACA